CCTGTCCCTCCTTCCTTCTTCACTAACTGGGAGGCACGGGGGGGAACCTACCCCGTGTTCACATGACGACAGCAAAGTGCACCAGCCTTCAGAATTTCATCGACAGAAAACCTACTATGCTTGAAGCAAAATCTCCTATGCAAGACCGGGGACACGGCGGGGAAAGGGCAGGGGAGCATCAGAAGAAAGCGTGGCAGAGAAAATGTGGAGAGAGAAACTCACCGAGGGAGGGGCAGAAGGCGCGGGCAGGGCGCCGGCGGGGTCCTGGTCCCCGAGCAGCGGCGCGGGCTCGTCGGGCGGCGGGCGGGCCGGGAGGGGGTCGCAGCAGCTGGCGGCCGAGAAGCGCAGCTGGCTCTTGCGCGAGTCGGCCGTGAGCGACACGTCGTGCGAGTAGGACTGCAGGAAGGCGCGCACGCCGTCGATGCCCACGAAGTGCGACACGGGCACGCCGCGCAGGGCGCCGCTGTCGGCCGGCAGCAGCTGCTGGCGGTGCCAGCGGCGCAGGCGCAGCGCCAGCAGCAGCAGCAGGAAGGCCACGAAGAGGCACGACACGGCGGCCACGGCCAGCACGAGCCAGCGCGTCAGGCTGGCGGCCGGCTCGCCCGGCGCCGCCGCCTCGTCGGCCGCGCTGCCCAGCTCGGCCAGCAGCTCGGCCACGCTCTCGGCCAGCACCACGCTCAGCGTGGCCGTGGCCGAGAGCGCCGGCCGCCCGTGGTCCCGCACCAGCACCACCAGGCTGTGGCGCGCCGCGTCGCGGGCCAGCGGCGAGCGCGCCGTGCGCACCTCGCCGCTGTGCAGCCCCACGCGGAACAGCCCCGGCTCCGTGGCCTTGGCCAGCTCGTAGGACAGCCACGCGTTCTGCCCCGCGTCCGCGTCCACCGCCACCACCTTGGCCACCAGCGCGCCGGCCTCCGACCGGCGCGGCGCCAGCTCCACGCCCGACCACGCCGCGCCCGAGCCCGCCGCTGCGCCCGCCGGCGGGTACAGCACCTGCGGCGCGTTGTCGTTCTCGTCCACGATCAGCAGCCGCACCGACACGTTGCTGCTCAGCGCCGGCGCGCCGCCGTCCTCCGCCCGCACCCACAGCTGCAGCTCGCGCACCTGCTCGTAGTCCAAGGAGCGCAGCGCGTACAGCGCGCCCGTCTCCGCCTGCACCGACACGTACGACGACAGCGGCGCGCCCCGCACCCGCCCCTCCGCCAGCCGGTAGCGCACGCGCGCGTTCTGCCCCCAGTCCGCGTCCGTGGCGCGCACCGTCAGCACCAGCGCGCCCGCCGCGTTGTTCTCCGCCAGCCGCGCGCTGTAGCGCTCCTCCAAGAACACCGGCGCGTTGTCGTTCACGTCCAGCACCCGCAGCGCCAGCACCGCGCTGCTCTGCAGCGACGGCGACCCGCCGTCCGCCGCCCGCACCGTCACGTTGTACTCCCACACCTGCTCCCGGTCCAGCTCGCTCGATGTCACCACACGGTAGTAGTCTTGATAGGACTTCTCCAGCCGGAACGGGACGTCTTTGTCAATCGAGCAGCGCACCTCGCCGTTCGCCCCCGTGTCGCCATCCTGCACGTGAAGCAGGGCCACAACAGTCCCCGGCTGAGCATCCTCGGCGATTTCACTCACTACCGAGGATACTGTCAGTTCGGGTGTATTGTCATTGACATCTGTCACAGAGATTGCGACTTTTGCCGTGTCAAAAAGCTCTCCCCCGTCATGTGCCTGAACCTCAAGTTCGTAAGAGGAGATTTCCTCGAAATCCAAGTGGTCCTTAACAGTTATCTCTCCTGTCTCAGAGTTGAGATTAAAAAGTTCTGAAGCACGGTCTGAAATTTTACGAAAGCTGTATTTCACATGACCATACAGCCCCTCGTCTGCGTCATTGGCAGTAACGGTGACGAGGACAGAGCCCACGGGCACGTCCTCGGGCACTCGCACCGTGTACTCCGCCTGGCTGAACACGGGCGCGTTGTCGTTCGCATCCACCACGGTCACGCGGATCCGAGCCGTGCCCGTCCGTGCCGGATCGCCGCCGTCCATCGCCCTCAGCACCAGCTCGTGAAACGCCGCCTCCTCCCGGTCCAGCGCCTTGGCCAGCACCAGCTCGGGACGCTGATCGCCGCCGGGGCCCGCCTGCACGGCCAGCGAGAAGTGCTCGTCGCCGCTCAGCTCATAGCTCTGCAGGGAATTCCGGCCCGAATCTGGGTCATGAGCTTCGGCCAGGGGAAACCGCGAACCCGGCGCTGTCGTCTCGCTTAGTCTGAGCTCTTTTTCTGCCTCTCTGAAGCTCGGCGCGTTGTCGTTAACATCCGTGATTTCCACTTCGATTCCGTAAACCTGCATCTGTCCCTCCACTATCAGTTCACAGCGCAGCACGCATTTCTCCACCAGCCGGCACAGCTGCTCTCTGTCGATCCTCTCCGCCGTCACTAAATGTCCCGTCTTCCCGTGCAGAGCAAAATACTGCGTCCTGCCTTTGTTTAGGATGCGCACTCTTCGATCGCTGAGCTCCAGCAGGTGCAGCCCCAGGTCCTTGGCCACGTCGCCCACGAACGAGCCCTTGGGCATCTCCTCGGGCACCGAGTAGCGCAGCTGCCCCCACGCCGCCTGCCACACCGCCAGCAGCACTCCCAACAGCAGAGCTCGCTGCCGCCGGCCCCCCCGCTTCTCCGCCGCGCACATCTCGATCGCGGTATTGTCGATCCTGCTCAAATTCCCCCTCTTTGTCCGGCTTGTCTCTAAGAGCCACTGCCGCCGGCCCCTTTGTCTCTCCGGAGCACGGTTCCCCACCGCGGGGACGTTCGCAAGCTGTCCGCTGCCGAGTCAGAGTGCGGGAGCGATCGAGCGGGTCCGCAGCGGGCGGGGCTGCAGCGCTCCGAGCTTCCTCTCGCTCCTCTCGGTCAACAGCGGCGCCCGCAGCCTCCGCCCGGCACTGCAGGCACCGAGCGCTGCTCGTTCTTGTCTCGCGGTCGGGCAGCTCGCCGGGATGGATCAGTAGCCAGACACACACTGCTTTTCTACTGGTGATCTCTGCTTGATCCTGCAGCTGATGACGACCAGGCATAAGCAACACGCCTCCCGTGGTCTTGTTATTTCCATCCACCACAAGGGCAAAAGTTTTTATCGTGGTGATATCATATGGATATAAATCTCTCTTAATATTACGTTTGGAAAACCACGACTTCTATTGCATGAGTCGGGAAACACAAATTCCCCCACATAGCTTTTATACTACTCGTGTTTGAAGAACTCTTTCCTTTTCCATTCCACGGATCAAAACAGTGTTGGGGTCTAGGGAAACCACTCAAACAGTCATAAGCCCCAAACTGATACTGCAGGCACGGTGCTTACTTTGCACCCGCACATTACATTACCATGAAAATTCTACACTGCTCCCCATTCACTGGCTACGTTTTTGGAATTTTTCGTTACAATCTTACTTAGCACAGAACCAACAGTGCTTTGACAAATCAGTCATAGAGGATTTTGAGATTCTAATTTCACCCAAGTCAGTAGAATAAGGTTTTCTACAGCAGCCATAACTCAAAAGATGGGAACAAACACAGAGAGGTGAACTTTCATATTCAAGAAGTCACATGGAACTTTCCATAGGGAGTCATACACCTAACAATATTTACCAGCAGAGTTTTGTCCACCTACTAAGAGTCGGAAAAAAGGAGCGAAGGGGTAAAAATATCGGGAAGGAAATCTCTCCAATCCAAGCTCATTATCTACGTCTCATTCTACACAATAGGAATCCGCCAGTTACTGTGACGAGGCTATGCAAAGAACATTTTTGTTCCTACCGAGAATCATTAATCTGAGCCAGAATCGGAGATTAATGAAACGAGCTTCAAAGTTCTACATACATTCTAGGCACCAGAAATTAAAAGGAAAGGACTTCCAACTGAGCATGAATGTCTAAAGGGTGTTGTGGCTGTAACTGTCACTTGCGAAGGAAATAAGGAAAAGAAAACACTACAGAAGGAACTATTTAATGTGCTCATGGAAAGAGGAAAGGGACACTTAAACACCCAGAAAATAAAAAACAACTCTCATGAGCGTTTCTGCCACGCCGTTGGGAGAAGGTTAAGAGAGGAAGAGGGCGCGGAGTTACAGACCTGGAGTGCATCCCGGTCGGCCGGTTACGAGCCGCCCGACGACGCCACGATCGACAGAGGCGCCTCTCCCGACAGCTCGCACCACACCTGACCGTTCTCACCCGAGTCTCTGTCCCGCACTTTTAGAAGGGCCACCACGGTGCCCACCGCAGCATCCTCGGGCACGGGGCTGGACACCGAGAGCAGTGTGATCTCGGGCGCGTTGTCATTCACGTCCAGCACCTCCACCTCCACCTTGCAGTGCGCTATCAAACCCCCTCCGTCTTTTGCCTCCACAGCCAAGGTAAACACGTGCGTGTCCTCAAAGTCCAAAGCCTCCTGCAGTGTGACAGACCCACTCTCTGTATCTATCACGAACTTCTGAAGTGCCTTGGCTGGCATTTTTCCGAAGCCGTAGGTGATGCGGGCGTTGGTGCCTGCGTCGGCGTCTGAGGCTGACAGCTTTAGTACTTCCGAACCCGGCGGTGTGTTTTCGGGCAGGCTCACGCGGTATCGGTCCTGTTCAAATACGGGTGCATTGTCATTGGCGTCCGTCACGTTGACCCGAATCTGGACAGTCCCGGACCTCACAGGGTCCCCGGCATCAACTGCCGTCAGCACCAGCTCAAAGGAGCTCTGCTTCTCTCGGTCCAAGGCTCTCTCCAGAACTAATTCCAGTTTGCTTCCGTCCGGGCTGTCCTTCATGGCAAGAGAAAAGGACGGGTTGCTGGTGAGCTGATAAGTCAGCAGCGAATTGCTGCCCACGTCTGCATCATGGGCCATCTCCAAAGGAAAACGAGCACCGGGAAGCGTCCATTCACCAATCTCGAGGTCCAGAGCAGTTTTGCTGAAGGTCGGGGAATTGTCGTTCACGTCCTCGATGGTCACTTCAATGTGGAAAATATTCAGCGGGTTGTGCACCAGCGCCTCGAAGCTGACGGAGCAGGTCGCCGACTCGCCGCACATCTCCTCCCGGTCCAGCCTCTCATTCACGTACAGGTTCCCGTTCTCCTCATTCACCGTGAAGTATTGCTTCTCGTCGCTCAGCCGCAGCTTGCGCGCCGGCAGCTCGTCCGCGCTGAGCCCCAGGTCCCGCGCCAGCGGCCCCACGAGCGAGCCTCTGCCCAGCTCCTCGGGGATGGCGTAGCGGACCCGCTCGGCCGCCGCCCGGCCCCACACGCACAGCAGCACCGCGGCCAGCAGCGCTCGCCCGCCGCCCGGCCCAAGCCTCTGCCGCCGCCTCACCGCCATTCTCTGCCCGCAGCGCTCGCCGCGCTCCTGCCTCCTGCCGCTGCCCTGCCTCCCTTCCAGCCGCTCTCGCCGCCCACAACACACACCGCTCAAAGGCTGCGAGCTCGCCGCGCCGCCTCTCGCCGCCTCTCGCCGCTGCTGCTGGCGGCGGTGCCGCTGCCGCTGTGGCCGGCGCCGGGCGAGCGAGCAGCCTGCGGGGGCAGGACGCTGCGGCGGCGGCGGCGGCGGCTCCAGCGCCGCTCGGCGGCGGCCAACAGCGACACCCGGAGGCGCCGCCGCGCCACTGCAGCCGCCTTCTCCAAGTTCATTTCCAATGTGTGTGAGGCATCTTCCCGCTCATGGGAACAATCCCTGAGCGGTCGCAACAAGAAGAGACAGCCAAAATATGAATTTACGATACCCAGTTGTATCTCTTTCCCAAGCCCTCTCTATCTCTTCATACCAAGCTTGCAAATCTTTTCAATCTTTCCTGATATTTCACCTTCCTGCCCACAGATGACACTGAGGCCCACACAAATGACTTCACATTACTCTGAAATCCTCAGGTCTGGTTCTGATTCTGGGCAACAATTAACATTGAGGGAGAGATGTTAATTTCAAAGGTGCACTCAGACCTGTGTCACTGCACATACCTGCCAAAGGAAAGCAAAGTACAAGGCCAGGCAGGCTCTGCACTCTGCACATCCTGGCACCCACTACGCTTTAATGTGGAGAAACCCTTGATGGTCTTGGTGGACGGTTAAAACTTCAAAGCTTGTCATAAGAATTTTTACAATATTTCCCCTGCTTTAATTTGGAGAGCTTCTAGACAAAGGCCCTAACATCTGGTCAGTCCATCTAACTACAGCATGATCAACTGAAAATTTTACAGTGATTTCTGATGATTCATACAGAAATCCAAATACAAAATTCATACAAAACTCCAAATATGACCTTATTGAGGAAGGTATCTTGGGTCTATGATCTTGAGTTTCTCAGCCACAACTCTCTCTTCAAATCTCATGTCCAGACAAACTGGAAACTCACTGAATCCCAGAGGTTACACTGACTTCAGAGGGTTGCTAGGTGTCTTTTAATTCTACTGGGTGACTTCACTAAGCTCCAGATATTGCTTTTTTCAGAACAACAATGCTGGCCCTCAATAAATCAAAGAAGCCAACTAAAAAAACCTCCCACTGCCCCACATGGTGCTGATTGTTCCCTACTGTGAGAAATCCAGCTCTGCACAGTGTAGGAAATCAGACAGAGGAGAATGTTGTAGTCCTGCAGTCCCCAAGAAATAAGAACAATCTCCAGGTTGGTGGGACTGGCCATCTGTGCTCTGCAACCTGTCCTGTGCTCTGGAGCTTGGCAGAAGGCCTCTGGAGGTGATTGCTGCTATGGAATAAGGCTCCTTGGTCTTTTTTGTGCTTGTTACCCACTTGGAGACAGCAATGGGTGAGGCTCTGTTCATGTTCCTCATGAGGACTTTTTTGCAAAGCAGAAGCTCAAATCACTCCCTCGTTTCTGAGTATTTAGAAATTACAAAAAAAAAAAAAAAACAAAACAAAAAACCAAAAAAACAAAAAAAAACCCACCAAAAACCCCCAAAACAAACCCAAAATATCTGTGACTGGCCTCTCTGAGGGAGATAATGGACTCCTGGAATACACAGGTGCATTCTCATATCTCTGCCTTACAAAAATCTTTTACAATGCCCCTGAAAGTCACCAGTGTCTGAACGAGCAAGTGAGACTGTGAAGTCTTACTTTGGACTATATAGTATTGGGTTCTGGTTTTGGAAATGCACCAGTGCTTCCACAGCAATTATAAACCATTCTACCAATTTATAAATTATTCTACCCATATGTTATCATTCTTATTTCTCTCAAACCCTATTCAAATTTCAGATTTGTTTATGATTTTGTCATTAATAAAAATACCTCGTAAGAAGATAATGCTTCATCATCATGCACATAAAGGAGATACAGCTACCTGATCACCACCATTCTGACAAAAATATAATTATTCAAAAGCACAGGAATGATAAATGGACGAATTAAAAGAGGGGTGGTCATCCAACAGTGATGTAGTCATCAAACCATTCACTTAGGGGAATCTCTTCCCCTCTTCTATCACACAAACACAAAATTGTGACTTACTCTAAGGCCATGTTTACATTTGTTCACTCAGAATTGGAACTCAAGGGTCTGCCACTTGTGTCTCCTGCCTTCCTCACCAGCTACAATGTGACTAAACAGACACTAAAGAACAAGGCCTTGGCAAATGAAGTTTTGCCTCTACTAATTATACAAACATATGGTAAGAAACCCTGACTTTAAAGGCTTTATCATGGGCCTCTTGGTCAAGCTAAGTTTTCTGAGAAAGTGGAACAGGCTCTCTTTTACACTATGTTGCTTCATCCTCACACATAGAATTTTTTCTTAGGTGACCAAAGTACGTATTTCCTGAAAAAAACTCCACTCATAACTTCTAATGCAAAAGCAGTGTCCAGATCCAGGGAAACAGAAGCATGACCATCCAGGGAAAAAATGCCTAGAAGGACATGTTGGTACAACCTTGAACAAACTCTCCATTGCAACATTCCAGGCAGATATAATTTAGATAAAGAGCTTTCAGATAGGAATTAGAAACTTGCCAAAGCTAGGGGAGAATTCCACTAGGAAACCCTCCAAGGAGCAGAGTGATGTGCAAAGGTCTTTTCCCAGGCTCCTCTATCAAGCAAAGCCAGTTGTGGTTACAAGGAGTCTCATTCAGCCCTTTCCTGGTTGATACAATTTCACTCTGAGCCAAATAATGTATCCCATAAAGCCAGTGGCAGCTGCCATATTTATTTTCTGAAATCTCCGTGCCAGGCAGCATGGCTGTGTGGTGATGATCTCCCATTACGGGGACACCTCCCATGACTGCTCCTCGAGGCAGGGAGATCCTTTACCAGGAAGAGATCTTTGGATGGGTCCAATTTGAGGCCTCCCTAAAGTGCAGCTGGACATGCATCAAACTTGCTTCAAAACACATTTCCACAACATCACATTAAGGCACTTCCGACAATACTTCGGACAGAGATTCTTTAGACAATCCAAATCATTCATTCATGACATCTAACCAGGTGCCAACCTTCTGAAAGGCAGAGCTATTGGACAAATGCTCTGTTATCAGTCTTGCATGGAATAAACTGTGTTTTGGAAGAGCCGCCTGGAGTCCCGCATCTCTCATTTAGGCTGTTACAAGGGAAACCAGGATCACAGACAAAAATGGCACACCATGAAATCAAACAAGTCCTCAGTCAAAACCACATTAATTCACCTAATTTCCTAGTAGGAATTCAGCCTCTTGCTCTGCATCCACAGTAGACAGTTGCACCATGGACACATCCAACTACTTGGATTATTGTTATCTTATGTCAATTGCAAGTGAAAAAGAAATGGACATTGAAGTTCAGCAGTATTTTATGAAACCTGAAGTGTATCAAAGTCTTTGTCTTGGCAGCTAAACACCTTCAGGTGGGAATAGAAACTGCTCCCCATGCCTGTTAATTTCAACAGATCTCCTTTCCCAGGTCTGTCAGCCAAACTGAGACCCAGTTTTAGATCATGAGAAGCAGCAAGGAAGGAATGACAAGAGCACAGAAGTGAAGAAATTATAGCTTAACATTTCAGACTGTGTCAAATGTGGCAGGTACACAGGGAGGAGTGTCTAGAATCAAGAGGCACAAGTAATTTCTTTGGAGAAGAAGAATAGAAAACGCAGATGGGCACAACAATGGGATTAATACAGTAAATAGGGGAAACTCAATGTTCCCACCACCCTTCAAGGCATTTCAAACCACAGACAAGCAAACCTGTCCTGTCTTCCATGCAGACAGAATGCTTTGGCAAGCTCAAATATCATGCAGGAGGGGAGCTACCTTTGAAGACAGAAATCCTTGAAAGACATGTTTCCCACACAACTTCTGCTATGGAGATCGAGGATCATCATACAGATGAATGCATCAGAATATAAAATGTTCTAGTGGGTAGAAGCTACACATGGTTCAGTTAAAGTCTCAGTCTTCAAAGTCCACTCAAAGACAGCATCATTCTTTGTCAGCACATGGGCTTTTCAGAAGATACGTGACTCTGCAAAAATTAATGCACAGTTTATGTCCACATCCTAGGACCAGCATTCTCAGGAAGAGCCCTATCAGACATGAGAGAGGATTAAATGAGTAAGTTTCTTGTCAATGCTTCAAATGAAAAGTTAATTTCTAGCAGAAGTACCCTCCCATCCTTTTCTTTCCAAGCATTCTGCAAAATCCTCTTGAAACCACTTTTCACATCTCTGATGGTGATTCTCTAAGCCATGTCAATCCCTCATTCACAGCACATACCCATGCATCAGCTCTCTAAATGCAGAGTTACTGGACAAATGCTCTATGATCAGAGAACTACCACTGCCTTTAAACACAGAGAAACCAGGACTGCACAAAAGATGGCACAGGCCTTGGTACTATGCATCGTTTCAAACCACTGCTCAGGTAGAATTGCATTGATTCACCTTTTTCCCTGGTATGACGCCAGCCTCTGTCCTCCTTGTTCTGCATTCACAGCTTTTACTCACACAATGCACAACACCAACAGTTACTTCATAAAAAAAGAGCCATTAATAACATCTGAAGGTTGGTCAAGGCTGAGAAAAGCATTATTCAACCATGATGAAATTCTACATCCAGACACAGAAGGACATAATGGCTGGAAAAATGATGCTTCATGTGGCAGTTCTTACACACAGAATTTCTGAAGGAAATTTGCACTTCCATGGGTATTGTTTGCAGAGAAATTCATCAGAGGATTGAGCTCCCCTTTCTGGATGCAGAAAAAGGGCACCTGGTGTAAGTGGCAAGGCCTTGGTAATCACCACGACATGAAGAGACACCCAGCCAGGTGGAACATCCAGCTGTCTCTTTTCCTGCTTTAGGCCACTCTCTGACTGATCTTGCACTGAATGCTCACCATGAATGTGCAGCAAGCAAGAGCACTGATTCTGCTGACACCAGAACAGACACATTATCAGGACACACAACAAGCCCACCTCTACCTCCTCATAACAATCAGGGCAGAATTCAGCTGTCAGTCACTGGGAAGAACATGCAATAGGAAGGCAAACTGACGAACCCGCTTGTCCACACTTCACCCTGCCCAAGCACCACACAAACCCAAAATGCCTTTGCAAACAGTCATCTCTGAAAAAAGTTGTGTGCACATTTCTCGTTCTGTAAGAATGAAGGTCAAAACATTAACGCATGAAAGACATTTCTCCTCTTTAACATTACTCAAAGAAATGTAAAATGTTCTCAAGTTCATAAGAGATATACAGATCTGATAAAAACTCAGCAAAAAGGATCAGCTCAGAGACACCTTCAGCATGAAGGTAACTCGGCAACAATGTCAACAGATCAGAGCAGATACTGTCATATATAATGGTCTGCTATTGGAATCTCCCCAGAAACAGTGCAGGAGATTAGCACCTAGTAATCTAGGTGCTAATCCAGTAATCACCACACAGATTCTAGTAATCACCACAAACTCTTCAGAATCTTGATCTCAAAGATTCTGGCAGAGCCTTTGAAAGGAGAACTAACAATCCTCTTCCTCCTCCTAAAGCTGACATTGTGACATTTTACAACTTTATCATTAACTTGTTACGTAACTACATCCCATCAAGTGGCAAATAAATACAAAGACAAACCAAATGCTCTCAGTACTTGCTGGCCTCAGTAAAGAAGAGACTCACATTGCCTGATAATACACATGGACAACTCCTTCAAAACGTGCACTTTTTTTTTTTTTTTACCCTCATAATACGCAAGCAGATTGGCCACATGCACTTCAAAGAAGAAAGATCAGGATTGCATAGGCAAAGGGGAATCTGTACTCCAGGACAGACCGGGGAGGTAACCAGTGTGAAATACAGAGATGAGTAGGAAACACCAGATATGAACCTCCAGTCGGCAACATACTCACTTGAAACATTAAGGAATTGAAAAATTTTAGAAGAGCTACGATTTTAGTTAGAGGTAAGCTTTATTTGAGCTAATTAAAACAAATAGGCATTGATGAAGATAAGAGTTAGTAGTTAACTAATAATTGATTGCTTGTCAACACAATGTTGGGTGAGCTGGCTTCATAATGAAGAATATAGAAACTGATAAATAGCTTTTAGGGATTTAAGACAATTGTGGGCCTCTTTTGCTTCAAAAGCAATTGAAGACAAGGAACGGGAGTTCTAACAAGGGTTCATTTGTCATATTTGCATTGAAAAGGTAGAAAGGTCAGAACAAGGAACACTACAATTACTTCCTTTTTTTGGGACCCCTCCCAATGAAAGAGACCACCGACCCATTTCAAGGAACACACTACGCCTGCCTAATAGCTTTTGCACTAATTAGCATACAAAGCGGGGAATGGGATATACCAAAATTATGAATATGTATTTGTATTTTGGGTATTCAACATTTGTATACATAAAAGAACGCTGTAATCACCTGTAAAATGGCAGCGTGTATTTGGGAGCTACCCCACTTGCTGCGTCACAATACACATACACTTTCTAACTTTAAACTGTTAGAGTCTTTGTCCATCACAGCTGGATATCGGTATTAGATCAAAATCCACATTTTAGTAAATCACACTGCTCCTGCCCCAAGCCACCCGCTACGTGTAAGCGTGGGGAGTGAAACAGGGTCAACCTCCTCTCCATTTAGAACACAGACTATGAATGAAAGACCATGGAAGTGGGAAAGGGAAGCGAGGCCGAAACAGTGTGGTTCAAAGGAACTGACCGGTGCAGTGGCTGGGTCACGGGGGAGAGCGCCAGCAAGGTCCTGAAAACACATCCTTACTGTTTCAGATTTGAATGCACTCACCGGAATTGTGAAAATGAGCTGCAATCCTCCTGGAAACAAAAGCCTGAATAAAAGTGTAATTACAACTCTGAAGAAACTCTGTATCACATTCTGGCACAGAAATACTGGCATAGGTAGATAATGGAGGTTTGACACAGGATTAATTGGCTCTTCCGGCCAACAATAATGGTTCCACACAAACACTTACTGTGGAAAAGGTTTCTGTGGCAACACTGTCATTGTCATTCATGACAGAGAAACCAGGATCAGAACAGAACAGCAATGGCACTGCCTTTGGCACCAAGCATGAAATCAAACCATTTCTCTGCCAAACCCACAC